CCTTTCAAAACAGAAAAAAAACTCAGAGAGGGAGGAGAAAGAAAGACGGAGAGAGCGAATATGAGTGGCAGAAAAATGAGACAGTCAAGAGAAGAGGAAAACTGATATGCTCATAAGAGCATGAACAAAAAAAGACATTTCGGGTATTCGTGAGCCGATGTCAATCAGTTAGTCAGTGAGGTGTTTGGAGAAAACGCAGGGATGGAAGAGGAAGCAAAGATGAATAGAAGAAAAAAGAATAATAAAATTAAGGGGGGGTGGAATGACGCAAATAAGAAAGAAAGAAAAGAAGCATGCAGGCAAAAAGAATTAAGCCAGTTGGAAGAGTGAAAAGAGGAATGGAAGAAAGATGTCTGTAATGCTAATGCTAACAGTTCTTAAAAAAAAAGAAAAGAGAAAGAAGACATTGATAGAGCTACACAACACTTGTCACTTTGCAACATCTCTGGAGAAGAAATCTGTTTAAGTGAAGCAGCCTCGGACCAACAGTAGAAACCCACCAATGCACCTCCAGCCGTGACCGACCTCTCCAGGCACAGAGAAGGTCACTGTGACACATTTCACATTTCCAACACTCAAAATTTTTGTCAAACTGAGACTTTGTAGTGGAAAGTGTCACTTAGGAAATATCAGCTTCAGCTTTCCCCAGAGAGGCCTTTTAGATACTAGCCCAGGACAATATATGGCCAGGGCTATGGCTCAGGGCAACATTTGTAGAGAAAATCTGCAGCTGTGTCCACCTGTCTTTATACTCCTGCCTCCTTTGATTTAAAAGAAAAAGGTGAGCTATTGACTGCTCCCTACAGCGCTAAAAGCTCAGCCAGTTTTTAAAAACATGTTAAGCTTCCACACAAAAGAATTGCACGTCACATGGCTTTTCACAACAGCTGTAGCCATGACAGACAGTGCCCCAAAGCGCCTGCTGAGCGATGGATGCAGAAAGAAGAACCCAATTGACAAATCCTTTTAGAGGTGAGCAAGGGTACACCAGGGAGTGAGCCAGCTCCGGCAGACCTTGAGATTTTGGATGCGGAAATCACAATGGAGGCACAGAATTGCATTTACTTCATTAAAATCTAATTGACTGGGCCTGTGATCACACTTGTCCCCTTTAAAGTTGATACAGATGGCTCGTTGGCCAGCAGCACTTGACATTTTGCTGTCTGATTGTGGTGTGATCACACCTGGCTGAGAGCATGTGGCATTTCACAGGGAGTAATAATTAGGTAGCTACAGATTTTTTTTGTCCGTGTCTGTAGCATTAAAAGGCTTAAGGATTTACTTCTTGTCCAGCAGCTCTTCAAATTGTACAACCTCCACTTGTGTGATCGTTTTACGCTCTTGGCTGCATGTGACATTTCCAAGCAATCGATAATTAGATGCGCCGTGTAATTTTGTTTCTTGAGTAAGAGAGTGGTGACATTAAAAAGATACTTTTAGTTCCTCTGGACAAAAAGGCCACAAATCTGTCTGTTCTTAACCTACTGACACTAGTAGCTTCATTCAAAATGAGCTCAGGCAACTTTCCCTGTCTTGATTAACGCTAAAAGTCTGTGTGCTGTATACCAAAATGACAAATCGCACAAGTTGGTACGAGCTGTATAAAAACAATACATCATGAGATTTCCTATAAACAGATCGGTTAATCAAATTAAACATCAAAGCCTGTTTACAAGTCTTGGGGCGTGCTACTGCATATTTAATTTATATATATATATA